TTTTGAAAATATTCTTGAAGCGGGTTGCCACTTATTTAAAAACTTTAATTCAGTTAAATTTATAATATAACCTAAATGTTGCCATATGGCTATCAAACGAGACTATTTGAGAATAATAAAATTGCAACATTTTTTTTTTTTTTTTTCACATGCCCAATAAACTTAATATGATGCTTGAGTCTTCATATTTTCAGATAACTTCTTAAAACCTGGTTTATATTGCACAGTTGTGCAGGCTAAAATTATGGTATTTTTGACATGTTCGTCAGTCAGTACGTTTCGGTATTTGTTTTTTATAACCATTAGTTATATATAAAGATTGAACGTCTGGAAATGTTGAACGTTTTTCTTTGTCAACTGCTCTATCCATACATCGATTTCGAGATTGCAAAGTTGTATTGAAATCATTTAGTTTTGCAGTCACATCAGCTAAAAATGCTGCCTTTGGATTTCAGGAAAATCTTTATTTCTGTCATCAAAGCTACAAATATTGAGAGCACTTTACCTTGACTCAGCCATCTTACTTCAGAGTGGTAGAATATGTGACCGAATTCACTCTCAAATTCATCGAGCAAGGCTTTGAATTGCCGATGCTTTAGCGGTCATCCGCGAATCAAATTCACAATACGAATGATCGTGCTCATAACATTGTCAAGGTTGAGTATTTTTGCAATCAGATTTTCCTTCTTTTTCACTACGTTATATATATATATCTTGCACACGAGTACGAGTTTCCAAAGTCAGATTGACTAAAAGTGCCTCCTTAGCAGAAAAATCAGAAAATACCACTCTGGTGAACACTAATAAGTGCGGAGAGTCTGAAATATCGGTCGACTCATCCATTTGTAAGGAAACCTAGTCACATTTCTAGAAAGCGCTTTTTATTTGGCTATGAATATCGTTTGGTAGGTCATCACATAACGACACTTTTTTATTGCTGAGATTACGCTGTTTTTGTTTTGAAAATCCTGAAACAGAGATTCTATCATGTCTAGCATAGAAAGATAAGAAGTGAATGAGTTCGTGAAAATTTAAAAATAAAAGCTTACTTATGTACCAAAAAAGCTTCCAATTGTTAAACTTTTCAATTCAATACAAAATATTCTGTTCATCTTCTTGTTTGCGGGCGCCTAAAATTTAGGTCGCGAGCTACCAGGCAGCCGCGAGCTACCGGTTGGACACTACTGTACATACCTAAAGGGTGTAAACAAAAAAATTTGGTCGACAAAAAACATTTATTAAATCCACATTTCTACAGTTATCGAGGAAGCTTTTACATATTTAAGAAGCTTAGAATAAGCTGTTGATAAAAAGTACAAGGTTTGTTTATTTATTCATATCATATGCGAAAGATCGGACTTTTGAGTTAATACCACTCATTAGGCGCCGCACATCATTTCTGACGATGCCTTAGTCCATTTTGATCGAAGGTCTTCTTTGGTTTTGGCAATTTTCTTTGTTTTTAGAAGTTTTCTTTTCATTATAGCCCAATACTTTTCAATTGGTCTTAGTTCGGGGCAATTCGGTGGGTTGGCTTCTTTCGGTACAAAATGGTAATTTTTCTCTTCATACCAGTTCTTGGCCAAATTTCCATAATGACAACTTGCCAAATCTGGCCAAAAGAGCACAGAGCCCGTGTGAAGCTGTACCAATGGCAGAAGTCGTTTCTGCAAACACTCTTTGACGTAAATTTATTGATTTATTGTCCCAGATGTTACAAAAACGTTGGTTTCATCGTCCATGATTATGCAGTCGAAATCGTGAACATAATTATCGTACAACTTTCGCGGTCGTGTTTTGGCGGTGGCGTTTTGTTTGTCGTTTCTGTTTGGCGTTAAGGGGACTTTAAATGATTGCAAACCTCTCTCCTTCCGAACTTTTTGAACGTATCCTTGCGACATGTTAACTTTTTTAGCTACATCTCTGATAGAGAGTCTAGGATGTTTCTTAAAAATACGTACCAATTCATTGGCCTTTTTTTTGAAGTAAATCCTTTTTGTCGGCCACTTCCCACTTTTCTTTCTGTACTTAAACGTTCGTAAACTGTTTGAGCACACAAGTTACAGTCGACTTAGGAACTTTCAATGATTTCGCGATATCATTGCAAGAAAAATTTGGATTTTCTCCTTTTTTGCGCACAATTAATTTGCGTACTTCTGCTTTCGTATAGCTCATTTGAGAACTATAACAAATTCCCTAAAACAAGTAATTACTTAATTAAAAGTATAAAGTTGGCTAACTGCGATACGTATTTTTTTCTGGGCTACTGTTATTTATGTCGCGACAGTACGAGTATTTGTGCGCCCAAAATTTTTCGTATACACCTTTTATTTGCATAAAATGATTGCCGTTTTCGTTGTTCGGAATAAACTCAAAAANGAGAACTATAACAAATTCCCTAAAACAAGTAATTACTTAATTAAAAGTATAAAGTTGGCTAACTGCGATACGTATTTTTTTCTGGGCTACTGTTATTTATGTCGCGACAGTACGAGTATTTGTGCGCCCAAAATTTTTCGTATACACCTTTTATTTGCATAAAATGATTGCCGTTTTCGTTGTTCGGAATAAACTCAAAAACCACTGAATAGAGCTTCGTCAGATTGTCGGAGGTTATCTTACATACATATATGGTCCAATTACATGCTACCAGAAAACTCGCTAGGTGGTTATGGAGTAGAGTTATTTATAAAAATCGTATTTATTAACCGATTTCGTTCAAGTTTTAAATGTGAGCTATGTACCTGTATGATGGAAAATTCTTTTGATAACAATTTACCCGATTAGTGTGCTTGAGTTAAGGTTGAAATTCATAACACGTGTTCATTTCAATGGATGGCGCTGCAGCCGAAATGTATAGAAACCCCGTGTGGTTGGTCTGCTTTGGCCCTATGTTTAAGTTGTACGAATTTAGTTTTCAGATGTCTAAATAAAGGATGGGGTTAAGTTTTTCTGACGCCCTCATGCACGATCATGCAGTCTGACATCTACCTAGAAATCAGTGCCCGACATATACAAAAATCCCAAAATTTTCGTCTTTACACATTCTGTCTCTGGCATACATTTTTGGTTTTTCCATAGCTAAACAGTTGGTATTTTACACTTATGCCGCCAAATTAATTTAAATATCTCGACCGAGTGTGTGGAAGTGTAGTCGTTGCATTATGATTGTACCGATGAAGCATAATGATTGGACGACCATTGAGCAGAAAGCCTAACCGAAATGGAAGCGAACAATAATTCAAACTTAAAACGGGCTGTATAAAGAAAACCCGCCGATTTTCACTTCGCGCCAAATGAATGATGCGTTTATACATACGTGTTTTCTGACCGAATTTCAAAGCGAACTCATAGAATAAATAATAAACCGTGGCAATTACAATCCAAACCAAAACGCTACGAAGAATTGTTACAAACATGTCCACTACAATAACAGAATTTGCAGCACGAGTTACAAAAATATGGAATTGCATTTGGTTTCTTCGAAGCGATTAAGAAGAAAGTGCAACAATGCAAATCACCAGCCCATTAATTTATGATAATTTTAAATGTCCAATGTAAATTACACCACGAAACAGGAAGGCTGCTGATTTACTTTGATGTGTCCGGAACATGTTCGATCTCACATTCGACTTACCAAATCTTTCCGCCATTGTATTAGTCCCGCTTTAAACTTCACCCTTTCCCCGAAAAAATGTGCCGGTAGCCTATCAAATAGTGTTTGTATGTCATATAAATCCATTATTTTTAAAACGGCAAATGAATCGACTCCGTGCTGGAACAGGAGTGAGCACACCTCCTCATTCAACTCCCAAGATGAAAACAGAGGAAATACCTGCAATGGGTCCTCGGAGGATTCATCATTGACATAGTTTGCATAGGCGTCGTCCATGTTTTTATGAGGGTTTTTTTTTTGATTGCACAAACGCAAGTACTAAAATAGTTCACTTTTTATTTTATTATTTATAATTAACTTTTTATGCAATCATTCAATTTACAGCACCGATATCAAGTTCGCACGCGTAATCGTATTCAATGAATAAATTTCGAAAATTTTCAACCGACGCCGCCAACTATTACTCTGTTCCAGTTCTCGAGGAATTAATCAGAAGTCGTTGAAGTACGCACACATTTATAAGAACTTCAGTGCTATTTCTATGTAACTAAATCCTGGAGTACTGGAACAGACTATACAAAAGCCGTTGGGGCATTCCAAAGTGACGGTGGGTCGTTTTCACTCGCGTTTGCTTAAGCTAAGTAAAATCTCTTTAATAATTTAAAAAGTTTCAAAATATTAGCACTTGCGAATATTATATTTTATTATGGTAATGCTCTAGTATAGGGTAACAACCCCTAAAAAAGGTCCGGAAAAGTCGGGAGGGGTACCAAACGACGCGTTTCGGTCCCCCTATTAACAATCTGGAGGGGGGGGGCTAATATTATTAACCATTTAAAAGTTATAAACAAAAAACTTTTGTTAAATTTCGTTGTTTTGTATAGGCAATTACCACGTCAAAAATGCACTAAATCACCAGTTTCCACTTTTTAAACACTATTAAAATATATAATTTAACTTAATTATTAAACGAAAATTTTGGATAAAAAATCGCGCGATTTTTTATTACGAATTTTCATTTATATATATATTAAATGAAAGAAGATACCGAAAAGCATTGAAAACTGCACACACCTTGTAAGGAAAAGTGAATTATTACGAAATACTAATACAGTGGCAGCACTATAGCTATTTTGGAATCTCGCGTTTCAGTTCGCAAAGATTGTCAAAGATTGTGAACGTTGTTACTACTTGATCAAATGTACTTAAAGATACCTTTTAAGTGGTCGGTAACACTGGTTTCTATTTTTCTTGTGAATTGGTAAAAGAAAAGCAAACAGGTAAACAATGTTTTCTTTCCTATATATTTTCAATAAATAAACTATTTATTTCGCAATATATTTACAGTGAATGACTTGCTGACCGTTGGGCGTGATTGCTGACCACTTGCGGCACTTTCTGACAATTGTGTATACTGCAACCTAAAAAGTCCAGGTAAATAGAAGCAGCTTATTGCCGCAAAACCTATTGGTAATATATTTCTAATGTCTGCCACTCTAGATGCAGGAAAATTTTAACAGTGCTGCGATGATACGCCTTTATAGAATGTACCAGGTCGTACACATCCCGTCAAAATTTTCTATATGCATTAAGGGTAATGCGATTACACCGAAGCAGCTACATACGTACAAATACCAAAGCCTAATGTGCGAAGATTATGAAGTTATGTAGGTGCGTATGTATTAGAGTATTCGTTAGTAATATTTTTAACACTTCTAATCTTTTAGGTGATCTACATATGTATATATTAATGCAACAAGCAGATCGAATAGGATCATAATGATCGCTACAACAGCCACCGGCCTTATAAAGCGGGGAGCGATGAAATTGTTGATAAACACAGGAAATTTAAATGATATAATGCCTGTTCTTGTAGCAAATAATTACATAAATTACTGGAAATATTTTAACTTGCAACATATTGCCAGTAAGAAAAACAGCTGATCGCTTGTTGGTGGGTGCAATTAAAACTAATAAAGCAATTGTTCATAGGGTTTTTACATGATAAAAATATCGTCATGGGGTTTTTATAGTAGTATTTATTAGGAAGTTGATTCTTTTTGATATTTTTCTCTTTGGTAGCGAATGTTGGCAAATTCTCGGAAAAATGCGAAATAATTGTTACAATAAGTTTTCTTCTGAAATTAAGAAGATACTCTTCCATATAATTAATAGGCAGTGTCTATACACACGCGCCACGGTAACTTTTACCCACTCCCTAATTAATAAGAATCTCTAAATAAAATCAAAAAGAAATTGTCTATGAAAATCTCTTCCCTTTTTTTCCTGCACACACTCCGTCGGCTAGAAACAAATCATAGAGACAATCTTGTAGTTATTAAAAGTCATTTTTTTCTCTGTGTAAAAGTAAACAAGCAGTGTTTAATTTAATTAACAACGGGGTGTAAATCTGTATTCATTACACTCAAAATATTTTTTTTTAACTTGCGCATATTAAGATAGGTAACCAGTTTCCTCTCTTAATGAATGCAAATTTACACACCGTGGTAATTAAATTTAACACTGATTGTTTACTTTTACTTATCATATGTGCTGCGTAGAACAAAATTCAAATTAGTTTGTTAAGTTCCAAACATTTATTGTTTTCAATTTCACAGTTTATACATAAAATGTTTAAAATTTGCTCTAACAAATTTTTGTTTGAATTTACGCATATAAAGAGAGGTAGGTAACCAGTTTCCATTCGTAATGTTTGCAAAATTGAACACTGTCTGTTTAGTTTTACATATAAAATTTGTCTTGTAGAGAAAAATTACACACAAATTGCTTAAAATTGAGGAAATATGAGCGCTTAATGTTTATTATTAGTAAAAAATATATTTTTACTTTAAACTTTTTTACAATTTTAAACATTTCATGTGTATATTTATGTGTATCTTTTAAACATCTCATGTTCAAAATCAAATAACCACCCTAGTGTACAAGCTACAAAATACGCATCTGTTGTTTGATTTCACCCGTGGGATTGTGTAAAGCCGCTAACCAAAAGGATTTTTACACACGAAAATGTGTAAACGAGAAAAATTCACTCTAAAAAATTTTTGTTTAAATTTATGCATATTAAGATAGGTAACCAGTTTCCTCTCATAATGAATGCAAATTTACACACTGCTTGCTTACTTTTACTTATCATATGTGTGGCGTAGAACAAATTTCAAATTGGTTTTTTTTGAGTTTTAAACATTTATTGTTCACATTTTCATAGTTTACACATAAAATGTTTAAAATTTACTCAAAAAAATTTTCGTTTAAATTTACGCAAATAAAGAGAGGTAACCGGTTTCCTCTCCTAGTGTGTGCAAAATTAAACACTGTCTGTTTACTTTTACATATCAAATTTGTCACGTAGCGCACACAAGGGTTGGGTTTTGGGGTTAAATTTATTATTATTTAAGAAATTTTGATAGAAAAAATTTTCTTTTCCATTTCTTGTGCATCATTTTGTAAGAATTTTTCTTTTTTCTTGAGAGCTCTTTAAAGTTTAACTGCGAATGAAAACATTGCCCTAAAAATATGCAATGCATGCTCACTTACAGTTGCTTTTTACACTTTAAAGCCTAAAAAAGTTTACCACTGATATGTACTTAACAAGCATTCGAAGATTTAATTTGCTAACTTGGAATTCGTTCCACCAAAATGAGCTACATGTTAAAAATACATGTTCAGCTAAATTTTCGTTATTCGAAGTATTAAAAAATGAGAAATCAGAAATCGACGAAAATGAATAAAAAAGTGTAAAAATTTCTTGAAATTATTTAATTTATTTATATTAAAATTCTTTTGTAAAATTTTGTATTACTTTTGAAAGTTGAGTGCATCTTTAACCGTTAATTTTTTCATGATTTAATGATCGGATCTAAACCAAATTACGGGACGACCTTTAAGGTATTATCTTTCCGGTAAAAAAAATCGGTTCACGCAGTGCAAAGTTATGCGGTGGAATAAATAAAAGAAATAAAAATACTCCGAAGAATTGATAACCTCCCCTTTTTTGAAGCCGGTTGAAAATGTCTGAGTTCTTTGTAAATTTTATGTAAATAAAATGCAATTTATGAAACTTTAAAAAGTTTATTTTTATATTTCATTCTGTACATAAAACATGCATAAATGCATTTTAAAGAGCGAATTTTCAGTATTTTCTGATGATATATATTTAGAAGTATAAACTCTTTCACCCTAAAAATATATTCCTGCGTGCGCCCCTGGCACTTAGTATTTATTATGTGTAGAACATATATTTTTACTTTCAAAATGTTCGTAATTTTAAACATTTCATGTGTATATTTTAAACAACTCATGTTCAAAATCAAATCTTGAACATCTTGTGCGTATACTTGAACAGATTCTGGTTGAAAAATAAACACTTTTCAGTAGTAGTTTTACATGCACTTTTTAGAGTGTTCATATGTCGTGTAAATTTACCAAAAAATTTAAAAAATAAACAAAAATATACTCGATTTATAGTAAAATTTTTTAACAGATTTTTTAGAGTGTAGCATGTCATTTTACGTAGAAATCAAAAATCAAAAGACTTCTACATATGTAATGCTGTGCGTTGGGTAACCGCTTACACGCAAAGCTTATTTAACAGATTCCTTATGTGACAACTCTCATGCAATGCCTAGTATGCATAACTGAGCCTTTAAACTATAATCCAAGGCGAATTTATACAAGGGGGTAGCAAGGATGCAAAAACAACAACCACATGTACTTTGTATTATGGATATTATGTTAAATCTCAATTCGCCCCATAGTTTAAATATATTTTGTTTTTGCTTTTGAATGGTTAATTCTTTAACAAAACCTATGTAAATCGAAGTTTCAAACTTTGTGCAATATTTAAAAAAAAATTCAACAATTTTTCGTAAAAATTTAGCGCTTTATTAATTAGATTTCCTAGAAAGATTCTTAGTATGCAGTTTCAGTCCATTGAATTCCTCAAGTTTCAAAGTCATAAATATAGACCGTTGATTTATAGATTTTTTTGTCGAAGATGTTATGATTTTCTTCCATTTAAAAATAAACTGTGTGTAAATGGGACAAAAAAAAATATAATAAATCAACGGCCATTTTTAGCCATTTGAGACTTGCACATTAGAATTCAATGGGGTGCAAATCTGCATACTCAGAATCTTTCTAGAAAATTAAGTTAAAAAGGATCGACATTTTTACGAAAGTTAGTTGATTTTTTTTATAAAAAATAACTAAATTTAAATAACGAATAAAATAATATGTTGAAGCTTGTCAAAATGTGGCGCGGCTATAATCTGTTCGACCACTGTGTGTATTAATAAGGATTAATCAATCAACTAAATTAAAGGTTTGAAATAAAATTTTATTCCGAGGAATTTTTTTATATGTGTGTCAACTCGGTACCCGCTGGTGGTAGCAGAGCAGCGTCGTAAAGTCCAGGTGGAGAAGGACTTGGCATTTCTAATTGGCGTCCGTTGGCGACTGGCGTGCTCTTTTGGAGTCGGCCAAAATCATTAAAAAGCAAATGTAAAATTTCTTGAGTTTAGGAGTGGGCTTGCCCCGCTACCTCTCCCCCACTTTTATACGCCCATGTTTTCTTTCATTCTGCGGAATGTTTTCGACACGCATAGGGGAATGCTCGAATTTCCTAAATGGAGGCTTGTTCAAAATGTATCCATGCACATATCGTCGTTTAAAGTACAAAACCGTGTATCAACAAAATGCAAAACCGCGTATCAAGATAATGCAAAACCGCGTATGTGAGGTTGCATAAATTATTTTCTAGGGAGTAAAAACACTCATATTTCAAAATGGTTCTATTTTACAACGCTTTTATCAACTTGCAATGTTGTGGCTCCAGAAACTTTCAATGTTGTGGATCCAGAAACTTTCAATGTTGTGGGTCCTACACCATAAAACCTTTGCTTTGCAAAGTTCCTATAAAAAAGTCTAGTGCATAGGGCGACATCTGTAGTGCATAGGGCGAGGTAGATGACATCTAGATGTCGCCTTATGTACTACGTACGCGGAAATAGACGACACGCCATTTCTTTAAAAGTTCCTATAAAAAGTCTAGTGCACAGGGCGAGGTAGATGCCATCTATGCACTACGTACGCTACAGCGGAAATGGACGACACGCCATTTCTTTAAATGAAATTAGTCGGTGCTCGTATGTATGTACATGCATATGTAAATGCATGTGTGTGCACCTATCTATTAATATCGTTGAATTATTTTAATATCTATTGCAAAGTTATACAGACAAGACTAAAAAGTAGAATATAAATAATATAAAAAAAACTTTTTAATATACACCGCTTTTATAAATGGACTAAAAAGTAGAAAATAATATTTCTCAGTACGATAGAATTTGTTTTGATAACTTTTGATTTGGAAATTTTAGCAAAAGTCGTTAAAAACAATTTATGAGATTGAAAATGAAAAGCGTGGGGCGCATGCAATACAAAGCATTATATTTAATTGACAATAGGCAAACTACATAGCATATACCTAAAATTTCTACAGAGAAAGTACAAATTTGAGATCGATTTTAAGCGGTCGTTATTCATATACATATCCACATACATATGAAAATATATTACCCTTCATATCAATTCAGATGTCTATTACATGCGCCCCAGGCTTTTCATTTTCAATCTCATAAATTGTTTTTAACGACTTTTGCTAAAATTTCCAAATCAAAAGTTATCAAAACAAATTCTATGGGACTGAGAAATATTATTTTCTACTTTTTAGTCCATTTATAAAAGCGTTGTATATTAAAAAGTTTTTTTNTGGGACTGAGAAATATTATTTTCTACTTTTTAGTCCATTTATAAAAGCGTTGTATATTAAACAGTTTTTTTATATAATTTAATTTATACAGCAATCCATTTCTGGCTAGTATATTTCAGGACGAATGGATAAGGATTGAGCTAAGGGCTTTTGTGAGCAAATCCAATTTTTGGCAGCAAATGCCAGTTACGC